TCGACTTCGTTGGTCCATCAAACAACCTTTGCTATTTCAAGGGCTAAGAGACCAGTAATGATATACTTGCAGACTATTCCGTAAGGTGCTACGCCTCTACAATACTGACACAGACACCACATGATAGCGAGTGTTCAGGAATTGCAGTGTGGTTCTGCACATTCCTATCGACTAGTCGCGTTCATTTTGGACTGTATGATGCGCCAAACTCACAAATGGACTTTTCCGTCTATCCTGAAGCTCTTTAAGATTTCTCTACTACATTCTCAGGAAAAAATCTTGTCCCACACAAGTGTTTCTGTCTGTGCAAATTCCTACCTCGCATCCTGTTCATCTACATTCTCGTTATTTTTTTAGTCCACTTTTCTTTCATTTGTAGAAAATCCTCTGCACCAGATCATTGCAATGGTGAGTTGCAAAAAGAGTCCACTTGGGTCTTCTACCTTAAGTTGAGCAGGAGGAGTTTCTCTCGGGCATTCATATTTTGACGCCCAGAATTCTTGGATAAAGTCCGGTAGTCCCTTAGCTTTAATTCTTTGAGGAGCCTCTTATACTTGGAAAAACAAAGGATTGTTCTTTTTAACAGCAATGGACGCTCCAGACATTGCAAAAGGTTCACCAACAACTCTGAGTTCACAATGAGGATCATTCCTTGATTCATATTCCAGGCCCACGTGATCTGCGACGAAGATGTCCAGACTCATAAAAATCAAGCAAAATGATGTAACAATTGTAATGTTGTTATTGTTGTATGTATGTTGTGTTTATTTTCCAAAATGAACTTTTTCTCTAATTTTGTTCCTAGTTTAGGAAACCAGCAACCACACACAGAGCTTCCATGCTTGAGAGAGCTGAAATAAAGGTGATCAAAACAAGATTTAACTGAGATTTCGGATTGAAGATTCGTCAACTTGTAAAAGCACACTCCATCCGGGAACGTAGTCACCGTAGCCCAGAGTGGAAAGTGTAGCGAACCATGCGTAAAAGCCTTCTACTAAAGTCCAACCTTCTACGTACATTCCTTCTAATCCACCGAGACAAACGGTCAGAATCATGAGAGCAAATGTCACAAAAACACTCTTCTTCTTAACGTTTCGAGGTCGTATCCTGCTAAGCAACATTGTCTCGATTGCGTAAACGAAGTCATAAACCAGTTTGGAAATCATTTTTCCATTGTTTTTAGAGTTAGCATCGTCAGAGGAACACCAACAAAGGTATATAAAACAGTGACGATTTTTCCAAATGGAGTCTCTGGTGTAATGTGGCCATAACCTAAAAGAGGCAAAGTGAAATGGTTTAGAAACCTCACGGCCTCTTTTATTTCATGTTAATTTTAGGCTTTTTGATCACACTCCAATAAGATTGAACTGACTGACTAAGAGAGACTCGCATGAATCAAGATGAAAAAAAACTTAGTTTTCACGGGCAGGGTGCACCCTATGCGGATTTACTTGGAGCAATACTTCCCAAATAATCGAAGTCGGCTTTGAAAAGCTTGTGCAACTTATTTGTTTAGTTTATTCATGTAACATGAGTGCAAAGTTGTGAGACGAATGCAAATAACAAAATGGCGCGCGCGCGCTGTCAAAATTTCGTTTGTCTTGACTTTCTGTGATGCTTTTTTTCTTGTTTATTATACCCATTTTTAAATCACTGGTGGTGTCTAATTGGTTCTAATTGATGCGATTCATTCACGAATCGCACCATTTTTTGCTTTAAATCGCATCTTTTTCCCAGCCAATGAGGAGGCTAAACTAAAAACAAAACAACCAATCAGATTTTAAGGCTTGTTTAACCGATCAAATTTCAGGAAAATGAAAGACAAAGAGTATCATGTGGCAATTTTGCAACTTTTTTTTTTCTTAACTCTTACTTTTGCCCCCCAAGAAATGGACATGAATTTAATTTCAGATCGGCTCAGTAATGCATCAATAACATATTTGAACTGACCAAGTCCTGTATTTAGGCGATTTCAAAATGGATGTAATAAAGTGGTAATTGAAACTCATCTCGTTCAATTTTGATCTGAAATCATACTTGTGATTTCAAATCGAACGAGCACTGCGCACTCGTTCGGTTTTGAAATCACGCGTATGATTTAAGTCCAAATTGCGCTCCACTCAGTTCAGTTACTGTTATAAATAATTAACAATTATCACATAAACTGCGGTGTCATACAAGGATTTCCGGCCCTGAGAAAAGCCCTAACAACACACGTGAAAAAGTATCGTATTTTTTAACATGTGTTGTTAGGGTTTTTAAAAGTAAAGCAGCATAAAGGGCTATCGTGTTTATATGATAAACAAAATGATATGATTCAACTCGACATCTCACTCGTTCGCTGTGCTCATTCGTGAGCTATCGAGTTAAACACGAGAAGAGAAATTCCATATCTACGCGCGCCCATGTATTATTCTCTATAAAATGTTCAGAGAAATGCGCGCGCCGTGATTGATCAGAACGAGTTCATTATATTTCCATAAAGCATGCGCCTTACGTCACACGAGTGCATTGTTGAGATATAATGCACGCACGGTACGTCATCGGTACGAGCGCGCGCAATTCACGATACATTTTATAAAAGAAGTAAACAAACTTATTCCTCGAGCATTGTTGAGTTATATAAGCACTTAGGAATTTTTAAGAACACTCGAGA